GTATTTACTAACAAATTAATGACAGCAACAGTAATATAGCACTAAGTACAAGTTTATTTTAAGCAGTTTCATGTACAAACTCTAATCTCTGAGCTAGGGACAATATTTTTACTTTATAAAACATGATACACAGAAACAAGAAATTAAATAAATTGCCTAATGGCATATAATGGCCAAGTGTCAGGGACAGGATTTGAACCCCGACTGACTGGTTCCAGAGTCTGAAAAGACCCTGTGGACAGGCAGGAGGAAGAAGACACTTGAAGGTACTGATGGAGTAGAAAGGACTGGCGGCACCAAGTGAGTTTGGATGCAGCCCAAGCAGGAGACAATCTGCCACAGCAGATGCTGAAGCATCTGATTCTGAGACGCAAGATGATCAGGTGTCCCTGGGCCCCCTGGGACGCTGCTCGTCAGTACTCACACTCCCTTCAAGACACCAGAGATTAGCAACAATGCACTTGGCTATTCCCTCTGCTCAGAATTCTCATCCCTTTATTCAAATAATTTTATGTCCTAGGACCTGGCATCAGATGTCAGCTTCTCAAATAGGCCACCTCTGATCACCCTGCATGAACCAGCATGACCTCCTGCACACCAAGTCCATACTACCCTTTCTGACACACTTTTATTTATATGATTATTCTCTGTCTCTTACCTCCTCCAACCCAGAAGGTAAGCTCCTTGGGCCGGAGCTCAGTCTCTGCTCATGGCTGAATCTCTGTTGCCTGGAACAGTATTTGGCACATGAGGTCTCTCTAAATATTTGTGGAATGAGGGGATGTAGGGTCCTCCATGGAAACCATAATGGGATTCAGAGGACAATAGAGGAGAGAAATAATTGCTCCTGTTGAGAAGCTCCTAATATAAAAGATACTGATTTCCATTATTAAGGAGTTCTTAGTCTGAAATTAAAAAAAAAAAAATCCTTCTAAATTCACATAGAGAAGAGTTAAATCTAAGACCTGGGCCCCATGGTTGAGGTTCACCACAATGGGGAGAGTAGGAATGATTCCTCGCAAGGAAAGAAAGGCAAAAAGAAATTCTGTGAGACAGAATGAAGCCAGGGGAGAAGTTTCCTATTCTTTTATGATAACCCACTGGGGAATCAGGAGAGTAGAAACATGGATCAAGACACAGTCCTAACAGAGAAACCAAGGCAAGGCTCTGTCCCTGTCTGACAGGCGTTGTATATCTACTGTTTTCTGGCCTCAGCCTTTTGGAAGCCCAATTCACTTTCCTCAGGTTTCTTATTCAGTTTCCCACAATGGTACCTCAAGCTCGCAGAGGTGGGCTGGAAATACTGAACACCACCTCTGCCAGATAATTGCCTCGTTAGCTAGGGCACCTCATTAATCTTACCATTATCCAGGCTAATTAGAGGACTCCTTCTCTCCTTCCTCTCTCTTCCCACCGGTCCCTGTTCTCTCCTGTTGCCTTCTCTGTCATATCTCCTCGTATTTCTAGTTTCTCCCAACCATGTTCCTTCATGTGAGCTGGCAAGTGGAGATCCCACGTATGGGTGAAGTAAGGGACAGGACATGGAAAATCCATACCACCTAATGTCTAAGACAAAGAAAGAACAATTGGCAAGCAATATATTGTGTTTTTATTGACTTGTCCAGCTCCACAGTCAACCCCTCACCCTGCACTTCATGTAAAGACTTTGGTCTCCATTTAAGTCCTTGGTATGTAGGGACTCAAAATAATCCTGCTCTACTGCCATCTACAAGGAACAGCATGTACTGTTTTATCTCTGTATTGTAGAAAAGCATTTCCTCTCTCACCATCCTTTTAAAACATTTTCCATTGTACTGCATAGGTCCTATTTTATATCTTTTTCCTGATAAGCGACCTCAAATCATCCATGGAACGAGGTAGTGTACAAATTTAAAAATCAACAGTACATATAGACATGTTACCAATGTGTACCCAGAAATTAATGAAGGTGCAGTAGAGTTAAACCCAGGCGAGGGGAGAGAATATGTAATTAATTTGGGGGAGCATGCTATAGGAGAACAGCTTTTAAAAAGTTAGGAATCCAGCATCTGGGGACATAGAAGTTGAAAGGATACAAGTGATAAAGGACCCAAACAAATGGGGATCTTATCCACTCCCTACTCCAGAACTGGCAGAGTCCCTTTTTACACTTGGACGAGGTCACATAAGATGTAGCATTTCACAATGGTGAGAGTCAACCCCAAAACCTCTGTCTTCATAGGTGGTTCATGATTAAACTATAAATGGACTTCAATTGAGACGAATATACATATGCCAAAGCCATGATGGATCATTATAACACACTGGGATGTGCATTTGGGAGAAAGCCCAGAACCTCAGAAATGAAAAGAATTACAAGGTTCCAGAGTGCTGCTTTCCTGGAGATCCCCTGGGAAGATATGGTTCCACAGGGGTAGGAAAACAGTCTCTGAACCTGCAGAGAGGCCATCCTCCTTTGGAAGCAGGAACACAACCATCCTTTACCCAGACAGCAAGAACAATAGCTCCCTCTGAGATTTGCATGGCCAATTCAGGGGAGAGAAATGGATGGCCACAGGACAGGCAGAAAATCCAGTTTGTGCCTTTCCTCCCTGACCCTGCATAACTTGGGAACTTGACATACTGTATGGACCAAAAATAATAATAATAAAAGCCCTTAGAGTTTCAGGGAGAGATTGTTAGTCATTTTCCAGGAGGCCTCTTCATTGGTAACTTATTCCATATGCCTTGCTGCCCACAGGCCCCAGCCTCGGCAGCAGAAGCAATCTATGCTGCCCTGCCATTTAAACGCGAGGAGCCCCGGCTCTATTGAAGCTTGTCATCTTGCCTATTAGCTTGATGTCTTTATTCACAGACCATCTGTACCACGGAGAGATACAGAGGCAGCTAATGTCAATATGAACAAATGCCTCCTCTTTTACAAGAAATGTCAAACACAGGACAGGCTAAGAATGACCCCAGGAATACCAACAGATGTTCACTACAAGCCTCTCAAAAATCAATCCTTTCTACAGGGACTAATTAAGACGAAATAAGGAGCAAAAGTAAAGAAATTTGTGTCATATTATCAGGAACTTCATCCTCACTTTCCAAGCTCATTATGGGCAGATTGGCCTGTGCCCTTTGAAAAAATGCTAAAAGAGGGGATGCAGCTACCAGGGCACCAGGGGGACCTTCATTCGCCTCCAGTTCCAAACTGCAAAAAGAAAAATCACTGCTCAGGAAAAAAAATAAAATAAAGTGTACTTACCCAGGCTGCTTTTACTGGACTAGTTTCTTTAAACAACCACACACAGAACAAATCCATTTTCAGAAAGTTTCAAAAAAATTATAACAGGATAGGAAAGATATGATGTTTTTCAATTTAAAGAAAATAAGAGGGTTTGGCATCTTGGTCTCAGGAGTCCAGGCTAAAGGGGCCGCAGAATGGTCACCTCCTGCAGGGTAAGTGAATGCCTCCTGCTTTCTAAATTTTTCTTATGTTTTCATTCTTTGGAAAAGGGCAGAATCTGATATATCTGTTAGCCTCAAATGAACATAGGCTTGCATTTCCTGAATTTTAAATACAGCTCTTCTCTGACTTTAAAAGAAATATCTACCATCCAGAACATTTGCTGTTCCTGATTAAACCGTTTGTCACATACTCTTGATGGGTAAAAACATTAGCATGCTACGTTCTGATACGGTAGTTCTCAAACATTTCTTCATCTCAGTATGAATTATTGAATGGAGTCCGACCCATTCCCAAGGGTCCCCTTAAGTGAGATGTGATTCTCCACAAGGTGACTGAACCCACCCTTCCTCCCTGCTGAAGTCATTATGGAGGAAGGCATGTGACTCCGCTCTAATTTACATAAATGGGTTTCACTCCAAACTTCAGCATTTTATCGTCATCAGCCACCATTTTCTCATGGCCCCTCTCATAAAATAAGTCCCAAACTTTAACAGTGTTAAAGACACCAAAATACCTTCATGGTTTACTAACCACAAAGCCTAGAGTCACTTCTACAGCACTAGGTATCCATCATGGAGTCTCCACCATGAAATAGTCCACATAGAGGGAGGGATCAACATCTTGGAAAAGAGGATTGGTGGTAGGTTATGAAAATTTGGGGCATGCCAACCTATACAGCAACATGAGACAGGCACACAGATTTCATGATCCACCAAGGCCATTAACTCTGTACTGAAACACATCATTATCCTACTGCCAACACTGTGCCACAAGAGAAGTTCTGAGAATGTGCTGCATAGGTTTGCTCAAATTTCTCTACCAGACCATAGAAAGGTTGATTAGATGATTTTTTTTTTTTTTTTTTTTTGACTGGGAAGAGGCTCAATCTCTTCTGGGTTGTATTTTGTACAATTCCCTCAAAGAACACAGAACAAGTTTTTAAGTAACTGCTCTTAGAGCCTCTGGGTCACACTCTGTTTGACCTGGTAAGGCTGCATAATGCTCAGGTGAAAACATGGCAGAAATCAAACACTGAAACCCTGAAGCTAATAAACATTGATGCATCCATAACTGATTCTCCAAAAGCTAGGCTACAGAAGCACAGCCTGGGAGAAGCCATCTTCAGGAGGCCCTATTAGTTAGTGCTCTATAATGTTGCTCTGAGGATTCTAATCACTCTGGGAGAGTTTTAGTGTCCTTTGTACCTTCACATAGATAGAGCTCCTGTGGCAGTTGTCCCACAATAGGAAGAGTTGCCCAAGGGAAACTCACATCACAATCCTACATAGTCAAACATTCTTGAGAAACCTAAGTATTAACATGACCTGATTTTATCTCTTATCTCTCTTTACTTTTTTTTTTTTTTGATCATTGCACCGAATGTGGCTTTGCTATTAAGTTCCATCATAATTCACTGAAGCATGTCTGTTGTTTTCATGGACAAAACTATTCGGCAAGATGGTCTTCTTCCAACCTAGCACAGATTTCCAATTTGTAAACTCCTGCTCCACGGAGCAAGAAGATGGAAGCAGCCAGTGGATTACCAGTCCCAGGGTTAACTTAATTACTATTAGTACCATGCAAACACAAGAACAAGAGTTATGCGATAGATGGGGCTAACAGAGGAAACCTGGGAGATCAAGAGTCTCCAGAAAAACAATGGTTGAAGATGAAAGTTCAGAGCCCATTAGAACTTTGGAATGACTCTTGAATGTGGGTAATGGACACACAGGACAAATGTAGGAGGTAAGAAGTCAGACTTGTCAGATGAGACTCAGCACAATCCACTTTCCCTTTAATGTCAAAGTGGCCACTCTCGTGAACCTTGTCAATCAGAATGGCGCCATAAGATCGTGGTCTTTGGAGCTGGGGTTGTGGCTCAGTGGTAGAGTGCTTGCCTCACATGTGTGAGGCACTGGGTTCGATTCTCAGCACATATAAATAAATGAATAAAATAAAGGTCCATCAACAACTAAAAACATTAAAAAAAAAAAAAAGATCAAGTTCTTCTCACAAACATGACATCTGTGAAGACTGCGTGTTCAAGGGAACTCAGTGAGACTAGATTCTTCTCAAAGTGCTTCCAGGAAGCAAGAAAGAGGAACTATGGTAAGAGTCTTGCAGGGAACCCCACATCTAATAAAGAGGTATGAACCTTTACATCAAAAGATTCATCAAGAGTTTATTATATGAAAATGGGAAGCCTGGGGTTCTGGTCTTGCTTGACCTCTAGCAGGTAAGTCATTTTACCTTCTCTGGGCCTCAGTTTTCTCACCAGTACTCTGAGTTACCTAATTAGAGATTTCTACATTTCATACTAGATCTGAAACATTTTAAATTCTTTGAATTCATGTTATTTATTTTCTTTTTGTTTCCCCCTGCAGTGCTAGAGATGGAACCCAGGATCTCATGCATACCAAGCATGTGCTGTTAATCTGAGCTGCTCCCCCAGCCCCATACTATCATTTCTACATAGAGCATTCAAGATAGTTTAGAGGTTTTGGTCCCATAAAGCAGCGGATTGAAATGTCAGCTCTCCCTCTCCAATGTGCACTTCATCCCCTAGCAGAGCAAGGGCTGTTCTTGTGTATCTACAGGAACACCCACACTTACACAGGCACAGGTGTGGTTGTCCCACGTTACTCCACAGGACCCACAGTGGCCTCGCCCCGTCCCATCTCAGAACAAACTGTGAGTGATAACTCGGCGTGTTGCTCCGAGCTTTCCACAAGTCCAAGCTGGCAGTCCTTGATGCATTGAGGACCTGGGAAACATCTGCAGTTTTGTGATTCTTCCTCGTTTCCATTCCCACGATGCTCCCTGTGACTGCTTGGATCAGAGAAAGGTCGCCGGCTCCATCTGGCCACCCTGCCCCCCTCCATTCCCTCCCTCACCACTCTCATCCCCCCTAAGGAGTTTCTGCCCATTTTGTCACTTCCACCTGTTCTGACAGGTTCCCCTGCCTGACCCCAAGATAGCCCTTGGGGACATTAATCATATAACAGCCGGAGCCGTGAAAGAAACAAGGGTTTGGCTGGATACTGTTACCGTCTCTGTCACCTACTAATCATGTCCTATGACACAGAAGGGCTTAATCAGATGGTCTGCTCTCTCATTAATCATCCTGGGCTCACTCAAACTTAACAGAGAGATTAAAGTTTAGCTTTGCTGGCTTCCCGTGTCTCCTCCTGTCTCACCCTTTTCTATAGCAGCGTCACCAGGGAAGGTCTCAAGTTCCTTCTGCTTTGCCAACTGGCGGGGCACTGAAATGTCGGTGCCTACGAACACCATGGTGCCCAGGAAGAGAAGGAGGATTCTGCTTCTTTTCTCCTCTCCCCTGTCCACCACATCAACCCACACCCAATCCAGAGAGACGACAATCAAAACCACAGTTGATGGGAAGACTGAAAATCCCAGACCTATGCCTGTACCGGGGAGTCGAACAAAGATTTAAATACAGGAAAAAATACAAGTCAGGCCTGAGACTGGAGAAGGTGGGGTGTTTCTCCTACTGCTCCAAGAACCAGTGAGTGCTTTTTTTGTGTTTAAACAACAGCAAGGAGAATTAAAAAAAAAAAAAAAAGATTTTTTTAAATGATTCATTAAAATAGGTGTTTGTGGCCCAGTTGGCTGGGAGCAGCTGGGTAACAGAGAAGGCTCCCGCTCTGAGAATGGCAGCCCAAGATCATCCTCTCTCACCACTCCGCTGAAATGATAGCCTCAAGCAAGTCAAAAATAGCCTGAATCCTTTACAGAATTCTTTCCAGACCAAAATAAAAATGGCAGAAAGGACCCTCCAAAAATACCCAGTACCGGAGAGCCAGGGTGTATTTCAGCTCAGCTGATTCATTCTTACCCTGCTTGCAATTCTCTGCCCTTCAAAGGAGAAGAGCAAGTCCTGGCAGAGGCCTTCAGCCAAGGGCCTCTCCCCCAGTATTGGTTTTGTACTTGCTCGGTGTGCTGTTGACTTTTGCAGCTCTGTACGATTATGGGAAACAAGGATAATATTTGCCCTCAGAGCCAGGAAAGAACAAATATTTTATCAACATCTAAATCATCTTTCATCTAGCAGGGGAGGAGGCGCTGAATGCCCAGCTGCACACACGTAAGCTGATGAGGGGCAGGAAAGGGGCTGCTTGGGGAATCTTCTACCTGTGTAAACTTGACCTATCAATACCGGGACCACATCCACTGCAAAGGGCTTCCTCTGTGAAATCTAAAATATGTCTGCCCTTCCAGGTACCTCCCACATCCCCACCACTACCCCCTCAGCCCAGAATAACTGCCAAAGTTCTACCATGGTGCCTTTCTCATTTCCAAAGGTACAAGTCAGGCCTGGGACTTGGGAAGGTGGGGTGTTTCTGTGGATATTTGGGGGGAAATGAGGGCTTGCCCTGTTGTTATGTTTGTTTCCATTCATGGATCCTCCACCACTAGCCCAGAAATGACAGTAGGTGGAAACACTATCTTTCATTACACAAAGTATAAATAGTGTAATCTATCAGCGCCGTCAATCACAATGATTGATTACAGGCTGTCATAGAGAAGAGTGACATATTAGAAAAGTTTTGTTAACAATGCCTATTGCTAGTCAGCCTGCCACAGAGGTTGGTGATTAATGTGTTGTCAGCCTGTAATCCCACACCCTTGGCTAATGAGGCAGGAATTTATCATCTTTACAGAGTGGCAGATGTCAGGGAGAAAGGAATCCAAGTGCTGGAAACAATATACTTTTTCTTACTAGGCCTGACAAGTCTGACAGGCCGAAAAAAACCACAAAGCAGCTTTGTATAAGCACCAACTTAAAACGAGGAACTTTTCATTTGGCATCTTCGCTTTAAATAGTGCTGCAAACCAGCCTCTATCCCTTTGGAAGAAAAAAAAAAAAAGGACACAGAGAGAGGAGGGCACAATGCTGAGCTCTGTGAACTCTGCACCTCATTTTGACAGCCAGAGACCCCGAGAAAAGGTTACTGTGGCAAGCAGACAGCTTTCTTTGGAAGAGAAGCCCACAGGAACTTTTCACTTTTACCTGTGAACTTGTGACTGGGAGAAAATGTGGCATTCAAGGGGGCTGGGGATAGCTGCTTCCCCTGCCACTGCCTCAGGCTGGCGTTTACCTGCAGACATGGATTGATTTCTAGAAATACTACCCTTAATATTGGGGATGAGAAATGGCGAGAGAGAGGGAGGGAGGGTGCTTCCCACTGGTCAAGAAAGAGCAACACAGAAGGGAGGGAGGGCCCTAGAAAATGACTTTCACCAAAGCTCTGCTTATTTTAAGCCACATTCAGATAGAGTCTCACGGTCTTTCTTCCCAACCATCTCTTTGATTTTTCATAGTGGACAAGGACTAAAATCTCTCCAAGCCTAAGAAAATTCAAGCCCAGACAAGGAGAAGCCTCCAGAGGCCCTTTTAAGAGCTGCTTGTCCCTGGACACTCCCTCCTCTCAACTGCAGTTCCCATCCTTCCCATAATTCTAACAACAGAGAAGACCTTGGGGGTGAATCTGGCATCTTCTGAGACACTAGAAGATGACTGTGAATATTTCAACTTGATCTAGGCTGTCCATTCGGTTCCAAAGAACTCAAGCACTCCACACCACAGGAGACACTCAACTTTTCCTAAGAACTATCAAAGAAACTGCCAACTAGAAGATTCAAACTCTTTTTTTTTCACTACCCATGCATTCTGCCTATACTCCAGTTAGCAAGAGAAAGTCAAAGGGGAAAGGCTTCAGTTAAGGAGGTTAAGTCCTCTGGTTTGGAAACTTCTCCATACCAGCACCCTGCCAAGATGGTAATGTGTTGCTTATTCTCATGTCAGTTTCCAAGGATGGGGGCAAATCTTAAGTGGCAACATTCTGACAGATGTAATCCTTTTTCAAACACATACCTCCGCTAATGTAGACAAATGCAATGCAAAAAAAATGGAAACAGCAACCAGAGGAGAAAAACTCTGCCTTCTGTCAACAGCACCCTCAGGCAAGAACACACAGCAAAGCATTAAGTAATTTAATCTCCAAAAGGGAGCCTTCTGGCATTAAGGCTACTCCGAAGTCCAAGGGGCCAGGCCACACCCTGTGCAATGAGCAATGGGCTTAGTGGCCAGGAACCCACAAGCTCAGATGGAAAGCCAGGGAAATACCCAGGGCCCAGTGGGTCTTCCCCAGAGCCAAGGCGCTGAATGCTGCTGACCTGGGGGATGCCTTCCCTGCATGGGCCTCAGGTCAGAGGCTGGACAGTTGGAGGCTCTGGGTGGAAGTGCCCCTCCTTCCATGGCTCTTTGGGAGATCAGCACAAGAAGCAAGCTGAACCCTGATGCTAATCAGGCAGCTTTGAGTGAAGGGTGACGAGGGCCGGCGCCGACTCCACTCTGCCCGCCCAGGCCGCCATCCTGGCCACAGATCTCACTTAGCGATAAGCAGGGGACTGCGCAGGCTCCCTACTACTCTTATCTTGCATGCACTGATGTGCTCAGGAAGAGGGGACCAGGGAACCCTGCTCCCAGAGCCTTATGGCAGAAGCTGGGGTGCTTTGCCGGGCTCCCTACACCCCCTACTCACCGCTGCAAGGAGACAGAGCCCTCCTTCGCCAGCTCCTCCAAGTCTGCCAACCCCCTCCTCCCTCGGCGTGCTCCCTCATGCAGCTTTCATTAACTCCCTCGGCCGGCAATTTCCATCCATTTGACGACAGATTAGAAGTGGAATTCAAAAAGAAAGTCACTTGACCTCCCATAATGTGCTTCTCTTAATTACATTAAAGATTTTCAAATGTAGCCATACTGGGTTTGACAGGTAAGGTTTTAATCAACTTCAGGTGGCCACTTTTAAGTGCTCCCTGGACTGGAGCCGCAAAGTTGGCGTCACCCACGCTCCCAACGTGGTTCTAATTTAAATGGCTAATTTTGACACGGAGAAAAGATGAGAGGCCACGGGGCCCCACTGCTTCGGTGGGCGTGATTTCTAAATTAGGATTAATGCAGCAAGCTGAAGCATGGTCGCAGGTTTATTTTATGGAGGTTGGAGCAAGTAAATAACATTTATCCTTTGTATACATCTGCATATAATTACAGCAAAGTTTTCTTGTGTGTTAAATTATACAAACTCTTCAAAAGTGGGTGCCTAATGTCTTTTTCTAAAGCTGTGTTATTATTTTGGTCAAAAGTTGTTTACATTAAACAAATTCAATTTACTAAACTTTGACATGTTTGCACAACTGCATATAATTTATGCTGGAAGCCTGAAGCATGACTTTCAAGTGAACTTTCTTGGTTCAAACTTGATAGATTAGGCATTCAATGTTGAGGGGTGGTGGCTTGCTCCATCCAGGTTTTGTGGCCAATTGAACTGATTTGGTTTTCCTCTCTCAGAATATTTTAATCATTGGGTAAATGTGTATCGAGTATCCACTGTGGTCCAAATATTAATGCTGGGTCCTGAGGATATAATGGTGTGCAAAAAAAGATACAGTCCCAGGCTCAAGGAGTTCAAGGATTATTTAAGGAAACAGAGAAGCAAAATAACTTGTGAAGACAGTCTTTAAATCGCAAAGACAACAAGAAAGTAGCATCCATGCTGCTTTGAGGATTCATAAACTAGCAGGATCTGTCTGAGCTTGGGGGAATGCTGGCCCAGGGAAGTGATAGCATGAGCTGAGAACGGGAAAGACAAAGACAAAGTAAAAGGTTAACTTTGGTGGGATGGAGAATGTTACCTAGAAGGGACCAAAAAGGTAAGTGGGAGTCTGCAACAGGTACCCTTGTCTGTGAGGTAGCTGGAAAGGGGGTAGTAGGGCCAGGCTCCCCCCCAGGGCATAGCTTATTTTAGGAATACTGTCTTTATCCAAATAGCAGGACTAAGTGCAAGGTTTGAAGCAGGGAGCTCAACTTTTTGTTTGTATTTTGCAAAGATCTATTGAAGGGCAGAGTAGATGGCAGGTCTGATGGAGTTGGGCTAGTTCAGAGGCTTTATAGTAATTTAGAATTTTTTTTTATCTGCCCATAGCTTTTATTTTATTTTTTAATTGATTTTTTAAAAAAATAAATGACAGCGGAATACATTACAATTCTTATTACACATATACGGCACAATTTTTCATATCTCTGTTTATATATAAAGTATGTTGACGCCAAATTGTGTCTTCATACGAGTACTTTGGATAATGATGTCCATCACATTCCACCATCTTTGCTAACCCCCTGCCCCCTCTCTTTCCCTCCCACCCCTCTGCCCTATCTAGAAACAAAACCCACCCTCCTGAAGTGGTTTGACCTAGGGTGATGGTAGTACAGAATGACAGTGGATAGCTTTGAGGGATGGTGAGGGGGTGATGTTGATGGGATGTTGAGACAGACTGGTCGACTCCGGTTTCTGACTTGTAAAGCTATAGGGACCTAGAACCATCCACTGAGAGCTCAGAGTCTGTTATGGTTTAGATGTGAGGTGTGCCCCAGAAAGCTCACATGTGAGACAATGCAAGAAGATCTGGAGGAGAAATGATTGGGTTATATCCTTAGCATAATCAGTGAGCTAATCCCTGATAACTGAAGTGGTAGGGTGTGACTGGAGGAGGTGGCAATTGGGGCGTGGCTTTGGTGTATATATTTGTATCTGGCAAGTGGAGTCTCTGCTTCCTGATCACAGTGTTGTGAGCTGCTTCCCTCTGCTCTGCCATCTTGTCCCGCTATGGTGTTCAGCCTCATCTTGAGCCCTGAGAAAACTGTGAGCCCTCAAATAAACTCTTCCTCCTCTATAATTGTGCTGGTCTGGTCCTTTAGTCACAGCAGTGAAAAAGCTGACTAAATCAGAGTCTCTGAAGGAGGGTGGGCTGGGTACATGAGGAACATGAGGGGCCTTTGAGGCATCTGAGACCTGTCATCAGGTAGAGAGAAACAACTTTCTGGAGCTCGGAGGACCCCCCCTGAGTATATATGGATATGAATGAGTCCTTCAACAGGAAGACCACAAACTGAGAAGAAGACAGGCCCTTGGGCTGGTCTTCAAGACATTTCAATACTCACTGGCTGAGAGAACAGGTGAGTCTGTATAGAGAAGGTAGAAGGGCAGTCAGGGAGGTGGTTGGAAAGCCACATGGGCCACAAAAGCCAAGGAAAGACAGTGGTTCAAGAAGACGAAGTGAGCTGCTTCTAGTGCTGCTTAAAAGGCCAAAAAAAGATAGGCACTGAAAGTCCCACTGGATTTGGGAACATAGAGGTCACAGGAGCATTAAGCTGAGGGTGGGATAATGGAACCCCAATCCATCCTGACCCAGACTGGAGTAAGTTGTTAAACAAACTGAAGATAACAGCATGGAGACCATAGGAGTGGAGAAATCTTTTTAAAAAGATAGGCCCTAAACAAAGCAAAGGCGGAAGAGGGCTTCATGTAGAGTGGTTGGTTGGAGAGTTCTCAAAATCTGATGGGAAAGCCTATGTTGTGAGGAAGAGGCAAGATAAAGAAGGAAACACAGACTGTTTCTCCTAGAGGGGAAGATGCGGATGGCATCCATCACACCAGAGGAGGAGCTAGCCTTAGATAGGAAGGAGGCTTGATTGATTTGTGTATTTCCAGAAGAGAAGATTTCTCTTGGGAATGAAATGAACATTCATCAGCAAACCAAAAGGCAGCCAACAAGAATGGAAGTCTTGTCACCGATACTGTTAAGGTGAGCTTGACACCATGTGCTCATGAATTAGCTCATGCCCAGGCCCACTGTAGTCCAGGAGATGTGCGTGGAGGATCCTCAGTACCAACCTCAGCACCAGAGTTCAGGACATCTGGTGATGGAGGACCACTGAGAGGTGCTAGGATGGAGGGAGGGCATTTGGTAGGTTCTTCACATTTTCACATCTTCTCTATCCTTCCAGGAACATGCTGCCCACTAATAAGTATCTCCAAGGTGTTCAGCTACTCTTGGCCTTGTGAAAGACCCAGAGAATGTTAAAAGTGTGACTGCCATCTGTGCATGGTTCACAATGCACTTACCTAGGACAAGCATATGTAATGCAAGAACAATAACTCAGCAAGAACAGGGTCAAGGAGCTGGTCAGGAAGGCTTCTTGGAGGAGGCAGAGCCTGAGTTATATGGTAGGTTAAGTAGGCTTTGGATAGGTGCTGAGTAGAGGGCAGGTGTGGAGTTCTATTCCTGACACACTTCATGTTTTATCCTAATAATAAAAACATTTAATCGAAGAAAAATGGAGAATAAAAATATGACAAAAATAAATCAACTGCAATTGCAGAACCCAGAGATAAATATGAGTATAAACTTGGCTAATTGTCTTTTCCTTCTTTTCTCCAATTATGTGTTAGGAGCAGATCTATATGCAGACACAACACACACACACACACACACACACACATACATATACATACACACAGAGGGAATATGAATCTGTTTATCCTAGTCTCTTGTCTTCTAGAAGTCTTTCTGGGTTTCTGATGTGAAGATTGCTGATTACATTACACATATGCATCATTAGACATCAAATCCCTCCACAATCCCAATACCAGAGACAGCTACATCTAGTCAGGTCATGGGTTGGGCCAGGGTAAGTGCCCCAGTGACTGATGGCAGATGTGTTGACTGATCTATTGTATTAGAGACCCATTACCAAAGAATACCTTCCCAGGCTGCAATCAGGCCCTCCTCCTTCCCAGGCTCTAGGGATGAGACAGTTGGAGGCCAGTATTTCCCCAGGTTCGAAATGAACAGGGATATGGCAGGCATATTTCCATTTGGTATAAATTTCATAGTTTTCCAATTCTTTTAGATTCTGAAGTTAATTCTACCTTCTACTATAGGGGATGTGACTGTTCTTAAGATAAAGCCATAATGAATTGGGCTCAGGGTCTAGAAATGACCCATTTTATCTAAGGAGAGAAATATTCATGGACAGAGTACCAGAAATCAACATAAAAAGGTTGAAGAAAATTTAAAGAAAGGTCTATTTAAAGGGTAGGAAGCAAATAGGCCTATTGATGGGCCCCAGATATTATCAAAAGGGAAAAACTGTTAGCAGCCATAGAACTAAAGGGTCAAGGCGGGGAAGAGTGTTCATAGAGACAGAATTGGAGTCATGGAGCAAGGCTGAATTCATGGTCCTCCCCAGAGACAGAGGTAACCAGCACAGATGGGCTGTGTAGAACCAAGAGGCAATCTCATTACATTCTAGAAACAGAGTAAGACAGGTCTGGACGCAACCCCAAACTGCCATGAGTCAAATGACTGAGGCCATGAATAGGGACAAGATGTAAGAACATCATCTATATGCATCTGAGATGCTTTTAATCAATGCTACATCTCAGCTTCACCTAGGACCTTGGGAGAAATGCAACTTCACAGACCACCATCCCAGTCCTACAGAGTCAGACACTTGGGAGTGGGGCCCAGAAACCTGTTAGAGTGAGCCCTGAGCCCTGCAAGCTGCAGTTTGAGAACCACTACTCTAAGTGAATGCATTTCCTTTGTCAAGAGGTGGAAGGAACCACACCTGGAAGGGGTGAACCAGCCCAGCCGAAGTATCTCATTAGCCAGGTCCTGGCCTCTATCCTTTCCTTCCCCTGCTGGAAAAGGCCCAGAATCTGAAAATCAGGGAGGCTGCTATGGAAGATCAATGCCTGAAATAAGCTCTCTGAAGCTCTGGCTGCATCTGGGCAGAAACGGCTGCTCTGGGACTCCAGAGGGGATATTTTAGAATGATGGAGCCTCTGTTACCAGAAGCCCCTGCCTCTGAGGACTCTCTCCTCACTCCAGTAGAAGAATGGACATGATCAGGACTCCGCTATTGCTAACACCACTGGGAGATGATGTATTTCTGCTAATGGCACCTTCTGTCGCTACGGAGGAGTGGCTCCAGCTTCCTCTTGTCCCGCAGAGAATCTGGCAGCCTCCAGAAGATGTAGGAGAGACCTGAGGACATTTGGAAGATGCACTGCGCAGGAAGGGTGTTTTCAATTTGATTTACCTTCCGTCTCCTGCGAGGAACCGAGAGTTAGTAGCATACTGCATCACGAGCCCAGCACGCACCAAGAGTGGGCCTGGGGGAGACTAAATGACCCTTGTCAAGCATATGAAGGGTGATCACATGGGTGCTTGTGACTGTCTCCTCTGAAGACACAATAAGTGAGAATTAGTTTAAATACAGCAGGAGGGACACAGGAAGGGAACGGGTAAATGACACAGGGATATTTTATGGCTAGAGACCAATAGGGGTCCCATCTACTGCCTGAAGAACAAAGTGTTGGTAAATTTCCTCTCTGTTTGCTATTGACAGGATTGTAGTGAAAGCAACTTTTGTGGAGGTTAAGTAAGACTTTAAGTTCTTAAGTGCAGCTGGTGAAAATATTCAGGGTGCTTAGGTTTTATACAACACAAATAAACCAATCACAAAATTGGAAGACCTCTTACCCCTCAGTCATGTTCACATTTACTCCCAGGCACTTGATACTATTGAAGGCAGAAGAATTATGCCAAATGGAAGTCCTATCAGTGTCAACAAGACTTACATCTACCCATTCAGTGTGCGGTTATTGGAAGTTTTCTGGGACTGCTGTCACAAATTACCACAAACCTGGTGACTTCAAACAACAGAAATGTATCCTCTCACTGTCCTGGAAGCCAGAATCTGATATCAAGGATTTGGCCGGACCAAAAACTCTGAGGGAAGAGTCTTCCCTGGGTTCTTCCAGCTTCTGGTGGCTCCAGGCACTCCTGGGCTTGGGGCTCTATAATCCAGTCTCAGTCTGTCTTCTCATGGCCTTGTCTCTTGGGTTTCTGGGTCGGTTTCCCTTCTCTTCACTTGTAAGAACTTATTGAATCTAGGATCCATCCTAATCCAGAAGGATTTCCTTGTTCTGGGCTCCCTACCTTTCTTACATATGCAAAGACTCTTTTTCCACATAAGATCACGTTCACAGATTCTAGGTAGACATTTTTTTTTTTGGGGGGGATTATTTAACTTCTTAGAGACACTTATTGATGAACTCCACAATGTTCTAGAAGTGGAGGATACATTGATGGAAGAAATGTAACCCAAATCCTGCCTTTGTGGATCTTTAATTCTATCAGGAGGAGACAGATGATAAATATTAAGCATAATTAATAAGTTCAATGTAGTTTCTTAAAAAGTGGTAGGTGTTCTGGGAAAAGATAATGTAGAAGGAGGTATAAAGGGGCCCCTGACTGCTGAGGCAATATTGGTAGGCACAAGTACCCACCTATTTGCAGTACCAAGTAGAGAGGCTCAGGGAAGCCTAAAAAGGTGACATTTTAGCAAGGACCTAGAGAAAGGAAAGTAAGTGATGAAATACATACCTGACAGAGGAGACTTCCAGACAGAGAAAATGGCTAGAGCAAAGGCCCTGGGGTAGGAGCTTGCTTGGCATCTCTAGAAACATCAAGGAAGTCTGTGTGCTTAGACACATTGAGAAGGGTTAAGTATGGGAAGCCAGAGACATGAGATAGTCAAGCCTTCCAGTGGAATGGGAAGCCAGTGTGGGATTTGTATAGAGGGGTGACCCACAAACCATCCTTCATCTTCCATCTGCCTGCTCATATTCAAAACTACAGCCTATTTTTGTAACCTTAGCAGAAACCTAGAAGGAAAAAGAAGGCACATTCCCCCTTATGTGTTTAAAAGCAGAAACTAGTTACAGGAGTGTGTTCAAGACAAAGCCTAAAGCACCAGGCTTACAACAGCAGAAATCAATTAGTAAGACACGTATGTGGAGGGCTCTGGAGCTATGAAGGGAGAG